GAATATTTAAATCACATAGCATGTAATCATGGGATTAAAAATAAGTATTATTCACATAGAATGATTGAATTATTGTAAGTAACTTGATTTTTAAAACATGCTATTGATGAGGGTTTGTTAGCCTTTTTAATTCCCAGAATTAAGAGTTTAAAACTTAGCTATAAAAATTTCTCAGATTTGGCCAGGTACAGTGGCTCATACCTGTAATCCCAGCACTTTGGGAGACTGAGGTGGGAGAATCACTTGAGCCCAGGAGTTTGAGCTCAGACTGGACAACCTGATGAGACATCATCTCTACTAAAAATAAAAGATCGGCGAGGCATGGTGGTGCATACCTGTGGTCTCAGCTACTCAGAAGGTGGAGGCAGGAGGATCACTTGAGCCTGGGAGGTTGAAGCTGCAGTGAGTCATGGTCACACCACAGCCTGGGTGATGGAGCAAGACTCTATCTCAAAAATTAAAAAAATAAAAAAACGATTTCTCAGATTCTTCCATTTGGAAAATTTAGGGAAAGATCATTGGCTGGGACTGGTTTCATGCAGCATCCAAGGGACTGCACTGAAAATAATTGTTACAAAATGGCTGACATGCAAATACCGTACCGTGTGTACTTCCCGAAAGTGACCCGTGTCCCTACCTGTGTACTTCCTGGAAGTGACCCGTGTTCTTATTAACTTCATACATTGCAATACAGTGAGCAACCAGAAGCACACACACAATCGTTTTTTGTGTGCACTAGAGTAGGGCTTATGCATTTTCCTTTCCAGTATGTGAATAAAGCAGGATTTGCACATGGTTTGCAAATAGATCCGAGTGATGGAAACCTTCCAATCCAGATGGCCTATGGGGCATTCATGCTGTCTGCTTTGACCTCGGTGATGTACTTAAGATCTTTTAACTGTTAGTTGTACCCTGGTTTGCCTTTTAGTCATCTCAATATACAAAACAAATATCCTTATTGCACATTTGATAAATCTATACCACACACAGAGGTTGGTTTGTTTTTTGAGACAGAGTCTCCCTCTCTCACCCAGGATGAGTGCAGTGGTGAGATCTCGTTTCACTGTAACCCCACCTCCCTGGTTGGAGCAGTTCTTCCTGCCTCAGCCTCCTGAGTAGTTGGTACCTATAGGCACGTGCAACCACACCTGACTAATTTTTGTATTTTTAGTAGAGACGGAGTTTCACCATTTTGGCCAGAATGGTCACAAACTCCTGACCTCAGGTGATCTGCTCACCTCAGCCTCCCACCGCACCCAGCCCACACAGAGTTTTATTGTTAAAATACACCTGTCTCATTTCTGCCCATTGTTATGCTAATATCACAAAGCTCTGGGTTTACTTTGGGCCTGCATTTCTCTATGGGCTTCTATGAAAAAGTGTTTTTTAATTATTTCCTGGGACAAGAGCTTGTCAGGCTTAACTCGTATCATATCCAATTTTTAATGAAGCCTATACCAGGTCAAGTACCAGTAGCTTTGAGGATTTGAGGATATTTGAAAAAATAAAAACAAACAAAACTGTAGAAAGAGAACCATGTTTCTTTTTATCAAATTGATAAAGGCAACAGTAGAGTTCATTGTCCAAATTTAAAAAATGACTGTATCTGAGTTTCAGATGGCTTCCAATTTCAGTATAACTATTTCACTTTTTTCCCCAGAATTTTAAACCAAATCACATTCATCTGTGGTTTTAAAAGAAACAGTTTTATATTAGCAACTTTCCCCTAGTCTTCCACTGTCTACAAATTTATTCCTGTGCCTCAACCAACATTTACTGACTGATGTGTACCTTCCTTTATCCCACAGAGAGTGAGCACTTTTTTTTTTTTTTGAGACAGAGTCTCACTCTGTGGCCCAGGCTGGAATTCAGTGGCCTGATCTCCACTCACTGCAACCTCCGCCTCCCGGGTTTAAATGATTCCCCCACCTCAGCCTCCCAAATAGCTGAGACTAACAGATGTGCCCCGCCACATCCAGCTGATTTTTCTATTTTTAGTAGAGACGGGGCTTCACCATGTTGGACCGGCCGGTCTTGAACTCCTGGCCTCAAGTGATCTGCCCGCCTTAGCCTCCCAAAGTGCTGGAATTACAGGCGTGAGCCACCATGCCCAGCTGAGTAAGCACTTTTTAAAGATAAATTATTCATTCTCAGAATAGGTATATATGCACATGTGTATACAATTCTATTCATAGCATAGAGACTACAGTAGTAAACACGGGAAATAGCATTGTATTTAAGAACTAAATATTTTTTATTTTAACATCATTTGATTAATTTATTGCCCAGGATTCAGGTAGAAAAGCGGTATGATTTTAGCTTTCCATTTGTTTGTGCCTTTCTGTCCTTCTCAGAGTCAGAATAGTGACTCTGGATTTCGGTATCCTAATGAAGACAGCATATAGTGATAGTAGTAATCATTATAACCATAGTATAATACGGTAATAGCCAACGTAAACTGAGTGCATAAAGTGAGCCATGAATAGTTTTAAGCAATTTACTTGTATCAGTCTTCAGAACAAGATTTGAAAGTACTATAATTATCCTCATTTTACAGATGAGGAAATAGGCGTAGAAGTAGGGGCAGCATTTCAGTCCTTTATAGTCAGCTATAACAAAATGCCATAAACTGGGTGGATAGCTTATAATCAAAATAAATTTGTCTCTCACAGTTCTACAAGCTGAGAAGCCCAAGATCAAGATGCTGGCAGATTCTGTGTTCAGTGAGGGCCCTCTTCCTGGTTCATAGAGAGCCATTTTCTTAGTGTACCCTTACATGGTGGGAGGGGCAAGCAAGCTTTATTGGGCCTCTTTTATAAGAGCATGCCTGTAATCCCAGCACTTTGGGAGGCCAAGGTGGTCGGATCACCTGAGGTCAGGGGTTCAAGACCAGCCTGGCCAACATGGCCCTGTCTCTACTAAAAATACTAAAAATGCAAAAAATTAGCCAGGCGTAGTGGTGCATGCCTGTAATCCCAGATATTCAGGAGACTGAGGCAGGAGAACTGCTTGAACCCAGGAGGCGGAGGATGCAGTAAACGAGATTGCACCACTGCACTTCAGCCTGGGCAACAGAATGAGACTCCATCACAAAAAAATAAATAAATAAAAAAGAGCACTAATCCCATTAGTGAGAGCTACACCCCCATACCTGATCACTTCCCAAAGCCGCCACCTCCTAATAGCATCATACTGGGGAGTAGGTTTTCAACACATGGGCTTTGAGGGGAAATAACATTCAGACCAGAGCAGGCAGGAGTGCATATTTTGTTTTTGAAGCAGTCTCTTGTTAATAAACTATGATATCTCTTACTGCCGTTTCTCCAATAAAGTGAATAAACGTAAGCCTAGCAGGAAATACCAACATTACACTTTGATATCTTCTACTCCCAGTTGCTGAAAGCTAAGTTGAGGACTCTTTTTCCCAATTAAGAAAAAACTAAAAGAAAATGGTGCATGATTTTCATTGCTGCTGTTTGTGTCGGCAAAAGGGCCTTATCAGTAAATACACGGTGTGTAAAGAAAGGTTGGTTATGGAATTACTAATCTTTTCTTAAACATGTCATTCTTTTCCCAAAACGTGGCTGCTATGAACTATTTGTGCCCCTCCCCCCTCCAATTCACATGTTAAATACTAACCTCTAGGGTGACAGTCTGAGGAGGCACGGCCTTTGGAAGGTAATTAGATCATGAATATGAAGCACTTATGAATAGGAGCTTTTATTAAATAGGTCCCAGGGAGCTTATTTCTTTCTTCCATTATCTGAGGACACAAGAGAGTGCACCATTGATTAATCAAGAAGAAGGCCCTCACTAGACAAAGAATCTGTAAGCATCTAGATCTTGGACTTCCCAGCCTTGAGACTATAAGAAATAAATTTCTGTTGTTCATAAGCCACTTCGTCTATGGTGTTCTGTCATAGCAGCTCAAACAAACTAAGACAGTGGCCATGAGAGATGATAGTCTCATCACCACTGACCTCTTTCTAAAACTGAGCCACATCAGGTAGCAAATCAAGACTACTGCCATGACTTTAACTTATTACTAATATATGTTTTTCGAATTTTTTATTTTTACTTATTATTTTATCTTCTGAGATATACAAAAATCCATTAAATAACTGACGTGTTTTTATAATAGAACATAAAAAATAAGAGATGGAACCAAAACCACCAGTTTTATATTCCAATCAAACATTTCCAATTTCTTATCTCTCTAGAGTACTTGTAATTAACAGGAACAGTGTTGACTTACAAGATTTCTAAAACATAAATATGTCCTTTATGTAATCGTATGATATGTGGAATCAGAATAGATGAGATTTTTTCTTGGATTAGGGTTGGAAGAAGTCAAGTGGAAAAGGACAGGAAGACATCAACAGCTGGAAGCAGGGAACAAATAGAGGCTTATCTTCAGATGTATAATTGGCACCTTTTACTCCATTATTATGTGGGATGGGGACAGATTCAGTTTTAAGTTTCATGAATCACACCCTCAAAAACTGAATGTTATTTAATTAAATCATACATACCTTCTACAGTTCTAGATATTTATAAATGTGACATTAATTTCCACCACTGAACAAGAATGCACTCACATTGTTACCTTTCAGAGCAGTGTACTAAGATTCGTTGTAACGTGTTTATAACCAGTTGGGAACCTAGGTGTTGCTTCATTGCTAAGCCTTGATGGAACATTTATGGATCTGTTTTATGATTTGCTGATCTGTGCTGTGAAACCATCAGTCTGTTTGCAGGGGGGCGGAAGGACTTGGGAGGGTAGGAGGGTGGAGGGAGGGAGGATAGTTTTGTTTGATGTGTCAGTGGCGGGAGGGGGGAAGGCAGGTTGGTCATGAAGTTTGAACTAAGATGGACTTAAAGGGTTCAGTTTTGACCCTTACACAAAAATCAGTTACAATAAATAGTTGCTACTACTAAGCAGGTTTTCAGTGATCATGCTTGATTTTCTTTCTTTTTTCTTGTTTTATGTATTTTCTCAGGGGAAATCTCTCACGTCAAAGAGGTTAACAAGCCTTGTTCAGTCTTACTAAACGGATCATCTTGTAGCATGGATGCAGACTGGAATCATTGCACATACTTTGTAGCTCGCTGTTGTGACCTGGAGCAGAGGACATTAGACCAAGATGTTGCATGAGCAAAGGACCTAAATTGTTATTTTTGTGTGTACATTCCATCTCCAGTGGACTCTTTACCATCTCGATGCCTCCATTCCAAACCGTTGTCTGCTTTCTTTCTCCTCCTACTATGCTGGATCTGTGTTTTTTCCTTTTTAACAAGTTCAAGTGAAGTAAAACTTTTTCTTTTTTCCTTCTCTCTCTCTCTCTCTCTCTCTCCCCCCCCTCCCTCTCTCTTAAAGCTTCTGCTAGACACACAGTTCACTGAAAATTCAGTCAGTCACAAACTGGAAGAATTGTAAAAGACAAAAAGCATTTATCAATAAGTATACATATGGCTTCACATTTATTAAACAATAAATTAGCACAGAAAGTTTCATTTCACCAATGTATCCACAGTCAGAAACACACTCATGTCTTTGTCTGTTGTCTGTACATTCTCCGTTAATGTTTCTTGCATTTATTTTTATACCATATTTAAAGAGGAAACACCTTTTACTCCAAATGTATTAAAGTTGATCCTTTCTCTGTAAATTTGTGTATGTTTATATTGTTGTTTTATCTTTCATTAAAAGATGCAGAATCTCATTGCTTTTGTAACTTTTGACTTCCATGCTAACTAAAAACAAAAATAAAAAATAATAATGCTGAGAAATCCACAACCCACAACCACAGAGAGGACTGGACTTAACCGCAGAGTTAAATTTAGGTTTTCACCTTGAAATTTATTTCAGTGTTTCAAGACAAGCTTGGATGGTACAGAAGACATGGGCAAATGGAAATAATTTTTTGGAGGCTTACCTGAGACTTGGTAGATTCTTTTTCTCCCATGGAAGAACAATGCAAATTGACCTTCCACATTTTCAAAGCTATTTATAAGGCCTTTCTGCCTCTTGATGAATATGCATCTGTATGTTTTGCAAATTAGTATTTCTGTTCTAATTAGGCTTGAGTGTGACTTATTAAATCAAGTACTGATTTGTTCTTTAAAACACGGTTCTAAAAATATCATACACCAGTGCCTCTTAACTTTTTGGAGGTTACAGATTATTTTGAGACTACAGACACCTCTTGGTATCCCTAGGAAATTTGTCCCAGACCTCTTCAGGTACCAAAATCCACAGATGCTCAAGTGACTAATAAAAACTGGTGTAGTATTTGCATATAACCTACATAAATCCTCCCATATACTAAATCTCTGGATTACTATATCTAATATAACCTAAATGCTATATAGTTATTATATTTTTAATTAATATAACAACTTTATTGCTATATTGCTGTTGTATTGCTATTTTTAGTGTTGACTTTTTTCAAATATTTTCCATCCAAGTTTGCTTGAATCTAAAGATATGGAAGCTGTGGATATGGAGGGCCAACTGTGTGATGTAATTAGTAAAGTTTACTGACCGCTGGTTAAGTGCCTGCCACTTCATTGAGCGTTTTCCATGGCCACAAAATTCTCACATTTAATCGTCACAGCAGTCCTATAAGATCATTTCTGCAATTTTGAGAACACTGAAGCTGAGAGAAGTTACGTAGCTTGTTTGAAGTCACCTAGCTAAGTAGTGGATTAGGATTTTAGGAAAAGAAAAAAGTCTTTTGTTTCTTCCCTTCTAGGTTCTCAGCTGTGGCTCTGTAACAAAAGACACACTAACAAGAGAAAAGCATACAAATGTACGTAATAGAAGTATTACGTGACATAGGAGGCCTCATAAAGAAATGAATACATTAAAAAGGATTAAACCTGAGTGTTTTGTTGTACTAGGCTTGATGAAAAGTCATGGGAAAATGTGATAAGGCAGAGGGGTAGGCGCTAAGGGTGGTAAACTGGGGGAAACTGAGCAAGGCCTGTTCCTTCGACTCCTCTCAGTGTCTCCATCTTAAGGGAGATGAATGCTCCATTTTTCTGGGTATAGGGAGAGTGTCTCTCACAGGAGGGTCTTATGACCTGCTTCAAGGGAAAGCCAGAGAGTCCTCCTGAACCTGCCATTTCTCAAATTTCTTCAGCTTAAAATATTCAATATGCCAAGGTACCATATTTGGGATAGCACTCAGAAACCCCCTCAGCATATAAATCCAGGCAGTCTCACTGCAGGGCCCACTCTGCTGCCCACCTATCCATTACACCACAAACTTCTTTTGATAAAAATTGGGTGAAAATCCACATACACTCACAGTGGTACTGAATTTTAGGACATTCACAGACTAATTAATCCCCTTAGCTCATCTGTGGACCCCAAGTAAATAACCTAACTCACTTTAAGGGCAGGATCAGTGACAAAAAAAGGTTACCCAGCCCAGAGATGGGCCTGACCTGTTTGCTTTCGCCTACACCAAGGCTCTGGTTATTTAAAAAAGAGATCAAGTTATTAATGGCTGTTACTTACTGTAGGTAAATTTAAATTCTCAAAAAATTTACTATCATTGGTGATAAATCAGCAGTGGAGTCTGTTGGTTAATAAAACTGTCACAAAATGGAAGAAATTTGATAGGAGAAATTTATATATAAGCTATAATCTAAACACTGTAAACAATATAGGAGAGATTTATATGCTCATGAGTTTTTTTTAAATCTATAAAATGCAAATAAATTAAATTGATAGACTTTCTCCCTTAAAATCACTTAATTCAGGACAGTCTTGGACAGACAGCACTGAAGTTAGATTAAAACTCATTAGCAGAAACATTATTTTAAGGAAAACAGTAATCCTATAAGAAGAATACAGTATTTAAACAATGAGCCTTGCACAAATACGATTGGTTATTTCAGTCCTTAGAAGTCCATCATCCCTGGCAATTCCAAATCATGGAAAAATTCATCCTTACTGGCATTTTCAAACATACGAAAAAGAGAAACCCTCAGGCAAGTATCCCCAAGTCAGGAATTCCTAATAAAAAAAATTAGTTTCTGAGTTCAAGTACATAAAACATATAAATAGCCTAATGACTCCATTTAACGTGGTCTAGACAAGACTCAGATGCAAAGCAAGGGTATTTCAGGAGAAGCACAGAAAAGTTTTGGAGTTCCTTGCAGTTCAGTAAACCCTTGGCATTTGCCTCCCACCCCACCCTAAAACCATTTGATCTCTAAGGCATAGAATAAAAAATCTCTCAAATTCCTATTTAATAAAGTTGGTTTTAAAGCTTTTTTTTAAACTTTGAGACTATCAAAAAAAGTTACCCTCCAATAAACCAGAATTTCTACTCTCACAGTAGAGCTATTTTGATCCTCTAAATTGCATTGACCCAATTCTCCTCTTAGCGATGTTACAGTAATGTGTTCTGTGAATCTGCACAAGATCTTCTGCTGGAATCAAAATAACAGAAATATGGCCAGCAACCTTACCTAAGCTGCATCCTAAAATAAATGAAGGCAGAAACCCTCCGTCTTCATAATGAGCAGTGTGAGACTTGATCCTGCTACTTAGGACTCGTAGCTGTGCCCTTGGGTCTCCTGGTTGACTGCTCACTTCTCTTTACATGATGGTTTATGAATAATTTTGGTCTACTGAGAGAGGCAAGTCTTGGCTGCTAGCATGAATTGAGTCACAGTCTACAATGTGCTGATTGTCTCCACAGAGAAGATTTTGTGTCCTTAAATACACATTTGAAAGAGCACATTGAATATCTAGTTAGTTTACTGTTGTCTGTGACTACCTCTTTGCACATTTTAGTAGCCCTCTAAAACATCAGCCAGAAACAGCCAAAGCTACCAATCCATCCCCTATGCCATTTTAAGAAGTGGTACATAATAATGAAGAATTTAAAGAAAAAGAATAGAGAGGAACTATATTCATGTATCATATACACACATATACACAAATAGGTATCTTATACATTTTACTGTACAACCACATATTTATATATTTTTATGGAAAATGTGCTCTAGAACTCATTTTTTAAAAGGCATCAAATAATGTATCAAATATAAGATGCTTCCGTTTAAAAATCAGATTAGAAGAAAAGCTTGCACACGCCCTTAGATATTTTGGGGAGTTTCTCTGGAGCTGAAATGTGTAATGTGTTTGCAACTTCATTTTCAAAAAGGTCATTAGAGGCTGGGAAGACATAAATACTTCTTGATTTAAAAATTGATTCACAGGCATGGTGGGAAGGAGGCGGCAGCGTCCCCGGCCGGCAGGAGGGGCACCAGCAGCAGCGGTGGCGCAGTAGGTCCTCCCGGCCGCTCACAGCGCTGTGCAGCCGCGTCCCCAGCCAGCCTCAGACGGTGGCGCCCCTCCTGGCCCCTATGGCTTCTCGCCCGCCTGCTCCTCCCCTGCGTCAGAAGGCATGGCTGCTCTCTCTGGTCCTGACGGGGGCAGGCGGGCTGATTACCTTGAGGAGGCGGGCGGGCCACGATTCCGAACTTCCGCAGTGCTCCCAACTACATTTGGAAGAGCACGCAGCCCGCCCTGGCCTTCTTTAGGTTGCCACCGGACCTGGCCAGATGCCAGAAGTGGTTGAATTGTTGGAGAGCAGACTTAGAAGATAAAACACCTCATCAGCTAAATAAACATGATCGATTATGTGCCAGACATTTTGAGACATCTGTAATCTGTAGAAGTAGTCCTTAACAGGACAGTTCTTCGCCGTAATGCAATACCAACAGTATTTGAGCTTACCAGTCATTTGAACAACCCACGTAGTAGACACAGTAAACTAATGAAAGAATGTTGATGAAACTTCCAAACAAGAACAAAAACATAAAGAAACCAACAACAGCAAGGTTCAGAACTCCAGTGAAGAAGTGGGTGAAGGGCCAGATGAGGACATCTTACCTCTAACCCTTGAAGAGAAGGAAAACAAAGGATGCCTAAAATCTCTATTTGAAATCTGGACTCTGATGGGAAAGCAAAACATACCTCTGGAGGGGACATGAGGCTGATGAAATCCCAGAAGGTCTCTTTACTCCAGATAACGTTGAAGTGCTGCTCGAATGCTGGATAAATTCTGGTGAAGAGGTCCTAAGACAGCGCTTTGAGACAACAGCAGTTAGCACATTGTTTTGTTCAAAAACACAGCAGAAACAGATGCCAGAGAGCCGTGAGCGCCGTAGTAGGGAAGAAACTCTCATGGAAGTGAGAGACTCACACTTCTTTTCCAGTATCAGTGACGATGTACTGGATGTAGGGGCACCTGCCTGTGTTGATGAGGTTGATGAGTCTCATAACCTAAGAGGAGAATTTGTAGGCTTCCCGCCTTATAAAGCTGATGCAGAAATTTTGGCTGTAAAATTTCACACTATAACTGAGAAGTGAGGATTAAATATGGAGTATTGTCATGGCCAGGCTTACATTGTGTCTGGTGAATTTTCTTCCAAAATGAAAGTTGTTGCTTCTAGCCTTTTAGAGAAAAATCCCCAAGCTGTCTACACACTCTGCAATTCCTGTGCCTTATATATGTGCTTAGTAAAATAGTACCTGTTACAGGAGTATCTGTTACATTAGAAACAATTGAGGAAGTTTGTTCTTTTTTCCAACGATTACCGCAAATGCTTTTAGAACTTGACAGTGTAATTTCTGTTCTTTTTCAGAACAGTGAAGAAAGGGGTAAAGAACTGAGGGAAATCTGCTATTCTCAGTGGA